CGCGAAGGATAAATGTTCCCGAACTTCGCGATCGATCGAACGAATTGTATAAATAAGCGTGCCGATCGATGCGAAATTCTTTCGCGACAGCATTCTATCGGGGGTGGGGGGTAACGGAGTCGCGAAAATATTTCTACGTACATATTCCGTCCGTCACACTTTCCGCTAAACTAGGCTAGGAAATGTGCATGTGCATCGGGTAGCGCATGGTGTATAACACCCACAAGGAACTGCACTGATCGCATCTCGTCTCGGAGAGATTGAAGGGGTGAAAGAGAGCGATATATAGATATTTTCGCTTCGGACACACTCGGACGTTTAGGAACATCTTTGGTCAAGGTATTCGTGAATACAAAGTAGAGAAACGTATTGACGTTCCATGGCTGAATATGCTCGCGCCGTACAGAGAGAGAGGCTCCTTCCGGTCGGCGGACATCTATCGTTGACGATACATCGTCTCCGGGTCAATAGTACCATGTTTGATCGACAGCGCGGTTTTCTTCCCGCGAACCTGTCGCTCCTTTGACCCTTTAACCCCCGCGCACGCGATTGGCGCAATAATTAATCAATAGCCACGCAATACGCACGTGATATTAACAGTCGGCGGGCCGCGACCTCTCTCAGTGCATAGTTATTTTATTATTCTTATCGTTATTATTATTGCAGTGGTATTTATTACGTGTCTCGCAAAAACGGATGGCTCAAGTCGGTAAACATAACGCGCCGGAGCGTTAAAGTAGCGAAACTTTTTACGATCGGCGAGGCCGTTAATCACGAGACAAATAACGGAGCGATGGTACGTCGTTGGCTGTTCTGAAAAAAAATGTCTATTTATTCGATGATTATTTCTCGTCGGCTTGCGTCACCGGTTGTAAAATTGGATTTTAATGGCTTCCGACACGGGAGAGAGAGAGAGAGCGCTCTTTCCATCGGGCACAATGGATATTACAGTATTATCCAGAGAGCTCGACAAGTTTCAGGTGAACCTGGCTGGGCTGGAGCTCGCGGAATAGTATATCGATTTCAACTCTTATCCTTTTTATCCTTTATTTTCTTTACCTTCGTCATGCATCCCAGCGCGCGCGCACTGACCGGAGTTACACTCGGTTTACGTTCAAATTAAAAGTCCTCGTTTTGTAACCCGCCACGCTTGAATCCCGCATCGACGGTATCCATCGCAAGGATCACCCGTTCTCCTCCAGATCGCCGCGGATTGGCCGTCGGTAATCCTGGAAGATCCACGTGCGGATCCAACTACCGCTGTCGCGCAACTGTTGCGCGCGTATCCTCGCATTGCAAAGGTTCTGCTTTTGAATATTGATTTATTTATGCAGATCCATGTTTCGCGCCTGGAAACTCGTCGTCGTCACCAGCTGTCACGGACGCCAGCTTGATTTATGATTTCGCGATTTTGCGGGAATAGCCTCGATCGGACGTTACGACGTTGGAGATGTCGCGGTCGACCGGAGCTTGCTTCGGCAGGGGCGGTTTATCGATTCCGTCCCTTTTCCTCTTTACCCCCTACCACTCCCTTTGTCGGCTTTGTACATGCTTTCGCACATAACCCCCGGAGTTACGGGGATCGCTGACGTACTCGTTACCGAATTTTCGCGCGTCAACCGCCGGCCGCTCGACGATCGGAATTCGTTTCAACCGCTGCAGCCATTCCGAGAATGCGTTTCGCCGCACGATTGCGAATGATTAAAAATATTCCTACACTGCTAGACGTAACGAGCTTGGCTGCAGTGAGAAAGAACAGATTTTATCTCACACGTTCCGTTGCTTTTCTCCCCCTGAAAGTGTAGGTTTTTCCACAGCAGGACCGACTATAAATCGCGATGAATACCGCCTGTCTCATCTCAATGTCGACAGATTCGAAGGTCCAGAAATAACTCGAGTCCGTTCGTGAAATTTCTGCTAAAGAGAGACATATACATGCAGGCGTTTATAAAGCTTTGAAAGCTGGATTCCGCGATGTTAAGCGGGCTGACGAGACGACGAAATCGCGGAGCCACGCAAATCCTCCGCCGATTTGATACTTTCCCTCCTCCCTCTTCTTTCTTTCTTCCTATTCGAGTCTTGGTGTTCAAATGGTCCGTCGGCAACTGCCTTTTAGCAAGGATCATAATCCAGGCAGCGGCAAAATCGGCGGAACGGTCTGGCATTCAACAGGCCTGGAACCAGTGACCCAAATCCGCGGCGGTTCGAGATGAACGCTTTTCTGGGATCGTATTATCGGTCGGCGCGCGTTTCCTACCCAATATTCTTCCCAGCTCTTTTCCTCGGCACTGTACAAGCGATATCGTACACTTTCGAGTTTTGTAAAGTGAGCGGTACTTTGGGCAGCTGTATGTATCGATTGCGAGATTGTCGATATGCTCCAGCGAGACATTTTTCGGCAAATTACGACCCTTGTCTCGCCTCAACGATTTTCTCTTTCTCTTCGTGTACAACGTGGAAATTGTTGCTTACACTTGCTTCACATTTGACAAGGCAGGCGGCGTGTTAGGGAGGAACTTTGGTATTGTTTCGAAATGTCGCGCGCCGCGATTGCGAAATCGTCGAAACGGAGTTAACCCAAATCCATACATATCGTAACGGTGTTTTCGAGGGGACGAATTATCGGGCGACCCATTTTCACCCAATGTCGCGCCACCACCACCCTTTTGACCGACGTGGTAACGATAACGTTCACTCGCCCGTTCGAGCGTCAAACAGGAAAAATAGTGTTGCCGGATGTCGATAAGACCTTCGCTCCCCGGCCTTTTTGCGAATCGAAGAAAAAACGCGTCGACGTTGCGCGAATGTTTCCCAATATTTACCCGTTCGCGTCTAACTTTCTCACCTGGCCCGTCTTCTCGATATGAGAGATCATGCCCGGCAAAGTTAAACGCCGCGCAAATTAATGAAATTTACAAATCTTTATAAAATTATGTTTGGTAAAGTTCTCGCGCCGCCAGAATCTCGGTGAGATCTTCCGATGCGCGTCACACTCGCTCCACTTCCTCATTTTACGCGCGCATCTACGAGCTGAATTGATCGACGTAACCAGCTCCTTTCGAACATCGCGAAGTGTTTTCGCACACACACACACATTTCGACACGCGCTTCCGCAAAGTTTCGTTTGAATTCGAGACTTGAATAGAGAACATCTGCGGGGTTTGATTTTCTTTGGCCGTCGTTTCACGCGGAAAGTCGGAGCGTCGCCGCGGAGATACGGAATGCACGGGATTAGCCTACTTTCTTTGCGAACAGCCGGAGTAAGAAAGGGACCGACTGATCTGTATGTTTGACTTCGCCCGGAATGCAGCCGTTTGATTACACTATGCCCGCTCTAATATTATCCCCACGGTCTGTTCCGGCAGACTCTCGGGTTGCATTGTACGCAAATTTAATACCGCGTAATAGCACATGCGCGCAGCAGGATCTACCGCGGTAATATACCTGAAAATTTCATCGGCGACCTTACTGTACACACAGGGCGCCGATCGTTAGGATAATGCATTACCGTTGCAAGTCGATGTGCTCGACCGCCTGACACCGTTGACGATGCGCGTGCTAAAGACGCAACGTCCCTCGCGTACTGAGAAAAAGATCTTGTCAAATTTCATCTATTTTATCGCGTCCAAACAGATTTCACCATTGGCATGCTCCGAAGAAATTTATGATCAGTAAATTACGACTGTTAGACTTTTCAATGAAAATATATATCTTTATCTTAAATAAGCAATTGATTTGAAACGAAAGCGCGCTATCGCGTGCTAAAGCGCTATTGCGTCTTTCTGTTTCGCGTCTAATGAGCGATAAAGCTAGAATAATGCGATAGCGCTGATATCGCGCTTTCCGGACTCTCAGCTAGTATCTTCACTGCAGTTTCGTGTCGTCGTTATTGCGTAAAACTGTCGTCTTCGTGCGTCTTGCGCGACAAAGTCTAAACAGTTCCTACGCCGCGCGGTGAGAATTCTGTAAGTCGAGACCCCCCGGGGGGTTTATCGCGCCGTTAATTTTACGGGTAAGAACGGTGGGAGAGCACATGGAACAACCTCCTTGAACGTGGAGCATCCACAGGTTGTCGTCTGACCCGACCTAACATAACTCGAGTGATTAAGGGACGTTGAATCAATGGAGGCGTAACGGTGAAGGATCAGGCCGAGAGAGAGAGAGAGAGAGAGAGAGGGGGACTTTTGACGGCATCTTATCAAATCATTCCTCGAAGCCTCTTCGGACGCGGAAGCTTGTTAAATTCCGCCAATGCGGAAATCCTCTTGCCGTAAGATATTTCCGCGAGCTCTATCTGAAATATTGAAGTTATCGAGCTTTCAGTTGCGCTCTCTTTCACGATCCTCCCCCTTTGAACAGGAGCTCTTGCCCGCGCAAGACTCGACGATCGTGAAAATTGGAAGCAATTGCATTAAGGAATAATCGTTCCGCCGCTGAAAGGAATCCCTGTGTCGGCTTCAAAAATGGCCCTCCGGCCCTCGGTAATGACGTTGTACAACGTTCCGCAAATTGTTTCGCAAATAACGGAGCCCCTTGTGTCCCAACAGAGACGAGAGAGGAGGTGAAACTATACTCAAGAGCGGGAAAACGTGAACTTCTCCCTGCTCCGGAGACATGTTCACCCGCGTATCGCTCGATGAGAACGGTGCGAGAACGTTCCGCGAGGAACTTCGAATTCGATAGGTAGCAGATACCGCGCGCTCCATTGCTCTCAACCGTTGAAGGTAGGCTCGAGAAAGTGAAATCAATACGGCCGGCCGTACGAGAGAACCTGTGGTGTAGCCCGCCTCTGTACTTGCGTTGTTGCTTAACGTTGTGGGCACGCCTCTTGTTCGTCCTCCTTTCCTTTCGATTTTTTCTTCCTTTCAACCGCGCGTTTCTTTACATCTCGCATTCGAGTATGCTTCTCACAGAGAGTACCGCTACATTCGATACACGCACGCGAATGCATTACCTTTCTCTGTATGCGTGCATAACGAGCGAGTCTGTTTGATCCGCAGGAATGGGGAGTGTCGGCAGCAACGTGACAGGGACGACGACGACAGACCCGACGACGTTCCTGCCAGACGCAACGCCGACCCTGAGCGCGCGCGAGCAGCTCAAAATCGAATTCTACAAAACGTACGACGTGATGACGGGGGTACGGATCGCCGCGACCCTCGGCGGCTTTTTCAGCTTGATGGTGTTGCTGGTGGTGTACAAGAGCAGGTAATCGCGTGTATCGGAGCACGTTTATTATCGAATACCTGTTGTCAAGAAAGCGGAATTAGAATATGGTATTCGTGTACTTGCCAGATGCAAAGCGAGCAAGCAACTGGAAGATCCGACGCTGACTGCGGCGGCAGCTGCGGCGGTCGCGGAAGCTGAAGCCGAAGAACAAGCACTCGCCGCCGCACTCGAAGCGATCGCCAGGTTACCATCCAGGCCGGGTCGTGGTCCAAGAAGATCGTTGTGCGTCGAGGTAAACCGCAACAGCCTCCAACAATACATTCCGAATACGAAGTCGGAGTGTTTTTTTTTTTCTTGAACGATGTGTTTTCCAGTCACAATTTCAAATTTCGATGTTCCTTCTCCGGTGTCTTGATAAACAAACATTACACGAAGTATCATAAAATAGCTACTCACTCACTCACTCACTCCGAGTCCCAGCTCTCTCTCTCTCTCTCTCTCTCACGTCGCGTTGCGGAAGTAAATAAGAATGCGCGTGCAATTTGTGATTGGTCCCTTTTGCCTAGCACTTGTAGTAGATAGAAACGATGTTTACATCAGATGAACCAGTCTCGTTCACCCGTGGTGCCACCTCGCTTCGCCTCAGTCGGAGGTGGGTACGACGCCCTGCTGGCACCGCCAATCAGGCAGCCGAGATTGGCTCCCCCCGACGATCACAGAAGATGTAGCTCGGTTACCTGTAGCAGTACTGGAAGTAGTTATCTGGAACGAAGGGGTTCAGCCATGGCGATGCCGTGCCTTCCGCCTCCTCCATCCTTTCCACGTCACGCTTACGATGAGCCATGGGATTTATATTACCCTATCGATATCCAGGTAGACCCGACATTCGTAGCCGCACGACACTCTCGGTAGTCTTTCTTTCGTTTTTTTTTCGAAGGTGTCTCGCAGATATATGTCGAGTAATAAATAGCACACACCGATCTTTCCTTGTCTGCTGTATAATTGTGTGTTTCGTGACCACTGTACAACCTTGCCAAATGTAAATAGTTGTTATAGCTCTCTCTCGTGACGGTAACGATTTTGCTGTTTCCCTCTCCAAGTTTACGTCTTAGTTTGGCCCGTACGTGTTACAGACGATATATTCGACGGCCAACTTTGAGTAACCGTAGTTAGTACTAAACAACGTTGTCACGACCTTAAGCACTCAATGGATTTTAATCCTGTACAATATTCGTCCTTTATACCTGGTCTGTGTAGTTCCGAAACTCATCGGAAACTCCCTCTATGATCAGGTAATACAGCCAACTCCGGATTTATCGCCGTGCGGCAGCGAGGCCGGTCTTTACGGTGGTGCGGTCGGCGGCAACCTTATGGCGGCATCGTCGTCGGGTAGAAGAGCGCCCTTGGCGTCGATGGGCAGCGTGGATCCTCCCGAGCCAGATTCCAGATCGCTCGGCTCGGATTCCGTGTTCCTGAAAAACGAGGACGAGGAGGAGCAGTGCGTCGACACGGAGGACGAGGTCTCGGGCTTCTCCACGGACTCGGACGCGCCTGAGCCGAGTTGTCGGCGGTTCTTGCGGGTGCCTTCTAGGAAAAAGCGGAGCCTCGAGAGATGGGACGGGTGCGCGGGTTGCGTGCCCAGACGACGGGCCGGTAGTAAACCCTGCCAAACGTGCTTGACCATCAGCGCTGCCGTCGAAACCTCTAGGTAAGCCGCGAGACGAGATGTTCGATAGACTAGCTAACAGTACCGGCCTTTGTAATGTCTTGTCAACGAGTAATTATCGATCGTTTAATCGGGATTGTCCGCACGTAACAGTCGAACACGGACCAGTTGTAATTGTTAACTACGTTAGACTGGCTTTGTTTAGATCAGGTTTGACTGATCTGATTGGTTCGTGTCTGATTGGGTGCAACTCTCGTTTAATCGTTTCTGTCAAGCGGAACGGGTTCAGTTAATGAATGAGCTTTTAATGATAGGTCGCAGCAAGTCTCGACGACGACCAGTAGCAGTCAGAGTAGCGTGGGATCCCCGCCGTGTTCACCGCCGATCGAACTGAGACACAGACCACCAGCGCCATTGCCATCGATCCCGCCGATCTGGTCGCAGGAAACGCTCTTTTAGGATGTCTTTTGTAGCGAGCATGTTCTTCGTCATCTGTTTTTACCGAGACACCAAGGTTGAAAGTCGCGGAGTGTCGACATCCGAGGAAATCATTTGCCCGAGAAACAAAAGCCTCAGCGCTTGGTCTGATCCCCAAACTGCCTTGTTGCGTCTCCGAAAAAAAAAAAAAAAGCAATCGACCCCTTGGACTCCCATCGACGTTAACACACTGATTTCGCGTAGACTCGTCGCGAAGATTCACCCGTTGAATCGAACAAGCGGAATCTCGATCTCGTAATTCGGACGGAACTCTGAAGGAACATCGCGTGGAATCGTTATCGGGACGTCGAAAACGTCTTTAACTTCGTCGCGACAGAAAATTACAGATAAACAAACAATGTCACCCGCGAATCCCTGTGATCTCGAGAAAGGACCAGGGAGTGTCCGAATTATTGCGTAAAAGATGAGAGAGTTGTGTCGAGGAGAACGGTGCAGGTCGGGGGGGGGGGGGGGGGAAAGGGNGAGATTCTCGATATTACGACGGTACGGCCGGAACCGGAGCACACGCTGTGGCGAGCACGGGCTGGATTACCTGCGAAAGGCGGCCGAAGGATATCCCACCTTCAAACCGTGTTTCGTGGACGACTTGAGTTTAGTTTACCTGAGCTTTCATCCACACCCGAACAATGCAGTCGGCTTTATCACGTAATTATACTTTGGATCTCAGAGCTACCAGCATCTGAAGGCGCGCTGCGTGCGAGGAGAGCTGACAATTCATCAGCTGAGAAAGCGAGCCGCACCACCACCACCACCGTGACCTCGTTTGATCCCAATCGGAGAAAACTCGGGCGTTGTTACCTTCGTTCACAGCCGTTTGTTTGCAGCGGGTCCGCTGCGTTTCTTTTCGTCGACGCGCACACACTCGATTACGATTCGTGATCCATTTAACAACGAAAGCAAGCGAATGCACTTCCTCGTTTGTGGCAGCTCCCAATTGGCATCCGCAGCGGTCCGCAGAATCCGCGGTATTTCGGGACAGCCGAATTTGGGACGAGGACGCACGGGTGATCTATATCGCACAAAAGAAATCCGATGAAACGAGCGGAAACTCGCTCCGATCGACCAGGGTGAAACTCGCAGCTCAGGAGACAGTCGTCGTCGGGGAAACCGAGGCGGCAGACCTCACGACGACGACGTCGCGGGGGAAATAGGCAATTATTTTTATACAAGCGTGACGATAATCAAGCTCGGTCGGGCTGATCGTGATGCTTCTCGTGGAAACAATAATACGCGCGCAATACTCGACTGCACGATGACAGTGTAACATGTGATTGTCAAACGGGGGGACTCAGGAGCGGAGGGAGAGAAACGGGGGATGGCTCCCACTTTGCGGACGGCCGTCGTGTACCGGTTTCCTCCGAGGCGATCCCGCCGGTTCGCCGCCGGTCCAACGTTACCCGCCAGTGCCAGGAAATAAAACGTATTTCTATTCGTGTAATCTTGTAAGCTCTTGTAAGGTTTTGGGTGTACGTGTACGTGTCTATAACCCTCTTGCGTACGATAGATAAACGCCGTGCTCGACGGAGGGGAACCGGTAATAGGGTGATTACCGTAAAACGGCGGAAACACAAGTTTTCATCGAAGGCTCCCCGAGCGCCAGCCGTATTTTCGCAAAACGTTCGATTTTATCGGCCACCACCCCGACAAAATGGTAACGCTGTTGTCCGACAAATTCCCGTCAACCAACCGGGCTGGGAGTATCGATCGAACTCGTCATTCCGCGGATAGAGGCAAGCGATAATCCGTAATCAGGCCCGCTCTATCAACTCGACGTAAAAATTCTCGAGAGAACGCAATAACAGAATTGGCCGATCCTTCTGAGAGGAGATAAGAGCAGCAACCGAAATTCGGTTCTTCGTATACCCGTCACCTCAGTGATATTAGCTGACGAGAAGCTCGCTGGGTGTAGAAAACCGAATTTATCAAAAACGTTAGAGCGTCGGTGTAAAGAACAAAATAAAAAAAAAAGAGAGTTATATAGTAGGTGAGACATATTTATCGTTGACGTGGGCAATTTATATGCGCCGTCTATTTTCGGTAAAAAAATAAAATGTAGTTCAACCAGACGAGCCATACCTCTCTCTGCATCTGGAGGCTTTCCCGCGTAAGCTAACATCACTGCCGGCGGGCCCCTCCCGGCACGTGACGGTAAGTGAATAAAACAACAGAAAATATCTGAAAAATACAGTAAAATATATACATAAAAACGAGATGAGAGCGCACGAGAACTACCTACCTATTGTTCTAGCCAGGAGTTTGTATAGTAGACGAATAAGACGAGGAAGGTATTATATCGGGGTAAGGAGAATTTAAGGGAAAAAAATAAACAAGATATAACGTAATAGGCGCCACTTACAGTGCCGCGACAGTACTTTTTAGATAGGTGTACATACACGTCGTGTGTTACGAAGCGTGTTACGTTGAGCCGTCATGTGTACGACGGTGACTCGCTTCCCCGATTGATAGGAAGGGGGCGAGATTATAACATCGTATTTACGCGAAGAGGAGACTTTATACTGCACTGGCTGCGTTCCAAAATTCGCCACCCCGATTCGGCGCTGGAGGCACGAATTCAACAAGCTGCAAGTACGAAGGGAAGAGAACGACGGGATCTAGAGAAAGAGAAAGGGTGACTATATGACTACAGACCCGTCGTGTAATTCCCTCTAGTAATTTATATACGGCTATCCGTTACTCTCGGCCATTAGGCGAATACGTCAACTTTTGCGAACCTCAGGCGTTAGGGAAGTTTCTTGGCGGCAAGAGGGAGCGAGAAAGAGCGAAGGGACGAAGGGATGTCCAAACTTCCAGAAATACACGTACGTTTGGGAAAAGTTTCATGATAAATAGAGGGAAACTCCTTAATTGGATATCGTATGCCTTATTGAATTACTATTACGTGCATGTACAAAAGTTACATTTTGCTTGAAAATTACGATAACATTATTGTGAAAAAAAAAAGGAGGTGGTCACAACGGGAGGCGAAGTTTTCGAACGCAGCTGGGAGATAAAGCAGAATTATTATAAACCGCGGGAGGTGCGCTTACTTACTTTACGCCGCGACACGCTGACGAATTCGTTCCGACTGCGTTCTTGCCGCTGCTGTTCGAAGACGTACGATGACATTGATGATTTCCGTGTATGTGACGCGGTGTCATCGTTGTTTCCCACTTCCGGATGACGCCTTGAGCGATTGGAAAGAGAGAGATCTATTCCGAGTTCCTTCGAGAATTCCACGGGAATACCGCGCGAATAGTAATTAGATCGCGGGTAACTTCGCACATTACTTTATATTTCTCAGTTCTACGCGTTCTTAGCGGCATCATCCCGGGGAACGAAGTTCTCAGTGGCGCACGACGTACAGCAGGTCGTACCGAAATCGCGCAAGGAGCTTGAAAAAACTCGCGAGTGCTGCCGAATTGCCAAATGTAACAATCAAACAGTGTCTAGTCGAAGTAACAAAAAAAAAAAAGAAAAACGCGAAGAAAAGAGAGAAAAAAAGAGAAATTCAAGAAGAACCGGGAATGATATATATATATATATATATATATATATATATATATATATACATACATATATATATATATGTGTGTATGTGAATGCGTGAGTGCGTGCCAAGTAGCTTAGCGCGACTTTAGACTGGATGTGAGGACTTTTTAGAGACTGTACACGAGTTCGTGTCGATTGATTTTAGCGTCTAACGTTCGTACAACTACGTGAAACCTTCTCTCGGTGCCTTTCTGCTGCACTTCTTCCATCGTCGTTTAGAGAAATATACACACACATACACACACACACACACACATTCTATTTCTCTATTCACCATCCTCACCGACTTTCTCCTTTCATCTCTTTCTCCTTTCTTTCTTCCTTCCTTCCTCATTCTGACTTCTCTTCACGAGTGTTTCCTCGCGACATCATCAGGATCCTAAATCCGTGCTGAAGTGAGGATCGCGCGTGTTCTTCGTCTTCTTCTTCCTTCGATTGATTCAATTATATGCTTCTTTGCTCCACTTTGACTCGGCTATCTAATTGATTTCTATTGCTGCTGCCCAATTCAATGGCTCTTTTCGCAAAAACCACAAACGACCACAAGATCTACGAGATAATGATTAACGTGGAAAGATTGTATTGCGCTTTTGTGTTACGAATTATTTCGGCAAACCGCTTCACGACATTTAATTCCCGTCTAATTGGGACAAAGTTATTGTGTCGTTGTATTGTTATAGTATCGTGCAGAAATCGTCGTTGAATTTCTCGCTGCATCTGATTTCTATGTCAGTGTTTTCTCAAAGCTTTCAAATATATATATATGTCTGGAGTAAAAAGAAGGAAAATCAGTAACCTCGCTATTCACGCGTAATTTAATAAGCGACGGTGCTCTCGACGAATTCTCGTCGCATTTTAGTACTTATATAATAAGCGATTGTTTACAATCCAAAACAGCGATTTGTTTGTTGTTTAATAAAAGAGAGACAGTATTTTGCGCTATGTTGAGGATATTTTCTAATCGTCAGATAGATGAAAAAAAAACGAAAAACCGCAGTGAAGCGGGCGCACGGAACTTCTCTCGTGTTTAACAATTATAGAAAGACCTTCGTACTTTTATAATTTTTCTACTCTTCAACACATTATATAGATACTTTAAGAGTAAGGAACTGTTATTAGAAGTCACACAGCGCCTAGACTCACTGAGCATTTTCGCTGTAGACAATTGTGTAATCTTCCCTAAACGCGAATCACTCATTTCGAAGTCATCGCATTCTCCCCTCCTTTGCGCATCGTCTTCTGTGTTTCTCTTCCTTCTTTCGTTGACTCGCGGTCCACTAGCGACAAAGTGCATTCACTGTGCCAAAAGTGAATATATATATATATATAAGTAAGCTGGCGAAAGTTTCTTGCGATTAAAAGTTTCTCTAACCTTCATCAGATCATATATTTTCAAAGTAATTGCATTCTTCTCTCTCTCTCTCTCTCTCTCTCTGTCGATCTTATAATAAACTTGTTAAATCACTCTTAGTAAATGTGTACAACTGACGGCAATTTTTCACATCAGTATCCCTCCTTTATAATTTTTGCAAAATTGAATATTTCATCTAGGTCCGAACTAATGAAATTAGGAGTATTCAAATCCACTATTATCGATAAACATTACTTCTTTGCTACCAAATAGTTTTTAATATACACATACGGTTGACGTGATTCCAAATATAATGCCAAAAACAATGGGAAATATAAACTGGCGCTTTGTCTCGGTCTTAGTGTTAAAAGATACTATATTCCCTTCTCATGCTCCACTATCTCTGTCTTTATGTATGTATGTAATTCGACGACAATCCGCATTTCTTATGCATCAACTGAACAATACACATTTTTATATACTGCAGATGATTATTTTTCAAGCTAAGCGAACATATTACATTCCCATGTTTTCATTTTATCTCCTATACCTAAGAAAGGTGAGATTCGACGTGGCATATTTGCGTAGTCGAATCCGAGGGGAAGAGCGTGAAGGCCAACGTTAACTATGCACGAAACATCATCGCTTCCGAATGTTTTGGACTTTTACGCTCCGTGACGTGCGGTTTTCGAATGGCGCAAGCGAAAAGTTTCCGTTGTATTACCTAATCCAGAGCTCAAAGGGGGCCCTCAGAAGCCGCAATTCTGACATTCGGCATTCGATTTGAGAGTCCGTGCGAACGTGTCGGCTAGTGGTGGAGAGAGAACGCGCGTATTACATATAAAATAAGCAGATACCCTGTTAATTGCGTTATCGTAGCGAAGAAGCGGAAACCGATTTGGTTCGGTAAACTAGCTCACGATAAACTAAACCAAAACAGTCGTTATAAGTGTTCCGTTTTGTAAATAATTCCATTATAATGCCGTATTAATTGCGAGGACGACACGGCGGATATTGACTTGAGGTCAGGTGCGAGACGAAGAGAAAAAAGAAACTTGTAATGAAGGGCAGTGTACAGAAACAACGGCCTCAAAATCGGTACGGAGATTTTTCGTGTCGACCGACACGACGGGACGACGACTCTACGCGAGAGTTTGTCAGCGATAACGACTTTTCTAATCTTGAGTTTCCTCCCGTTACTCCGATTATTCTATCATCACTGTTAGATTCACTCGGAACGTTGCTCGAGGCGTTTAGGAAGAACCGATTAAAACGGGTAGAGTCAGCACGAGGCGAACTTACATCGGACAAACAATATTAATACATTAGTGGTGTCAATAGCCGGGTACGCGAGCACCGTGGCCGATAAAATATAGACAGTACTTCCGAAATTAGCTTATGCGTATCAGTTGCAGTACGAGAAACAATAACAGATAGTAGATAGGTATTATCGGTCATTATTCGCGATTTTTCGTCTCCATTCCCGCTCATTACCGGATTAGTACTCGTGTATTCGGTTATTATTACCGGCTTGTTATCCGAGTACCCGGTTATTACTTGTATGCCCGGGTAAGTACTCGCGGGTACCCGAGTACAGAAACTGGCTCGTACTGACAGCACTATGACATATATATATATAACAAGCCCCGTTGTGTCGGTCGTCAGAACGAAATCCTAAAGCCGAACGTTCCGTTCGACGTCGATGGTTCTTTTTTACTCCAGATCGATCGAAAATCCACCCGCGCGCGCTTGGTCGATCGTTCGATATCGAATGGAGCGTTTATCGGGCAACACTATACGATAAGTTATCCGCAGCGTCACAGAAAAAATTGAAGTAAAGACGATGAAACAGTGACAGCATATACACTTACTGACATACATTACACACATATATATATATATATATANATATATAGTATACTATGTATATATATATATATATATATATATATACTTACACACACACACACACACATAACACGCACACGTACAAGATGTTAATAAATTGGAATAAATGTTACAAATATATTTCAAGGTTTCTGTTCTCCCTTTAACAGTGCCCTATCGATACTATTTAAAGGAACAGTAACTTACAAGCTTCAATTAGTCGTTTATCATTGTGCAAATTGTCGTTATTAATGATTTGCTGGTTATCATTTTCTTATCGTGTATCTATTTCATAAATATGATAAAACATTAAAGAAAAGATGGTACCGATTTGAGGAAATAAAAAGACGCCAAAACAAAATAAACGCAATGGAGAAATAATTATACTTATGTTATATTATGTATGAGTATTTTTATTTTATTTTATTTTTATTCGGGTGATAACATTCACAGCTGGAAGAAATCTCAGCTCAATCCGCAGAATGATAATCAAATCAGCAGAAGAGCCAGCTGAGCAGTAACTATTACCGTGCGCGATCATGGACATACACTAAGTTCTTTGGGAAATTCACGAATAGGCGAAAGTCGAATTTGTTCAGGCAGTTTGGTAAGTTGTCATCATTGTGCTCACAATTTTCAACTATTTTGTAATCTTTTATATTCATGAGATTTTCGGTGAAAAATCAAAGCTATGATATTAACGAACAAGAGGCACGAAAGATATCTTGTGTGAATTTATGATGAAACGTACTTGTGATAATCAGAATAATACACTTTTGTCGAGAGTTTAACGATGTAAGTTAGATTAGATTGAGTGAGATTTTGATTCTAATCTATTGAATTAAATCGTAGTGTTACATTATATTCTAATTTTCTGACTTATTTATTTAAATTAGTCGAGGTGGAATTATCGATCCGGAAATCCGAAATCTTAGCCGCTGGTTTCTCAAACCAATCTCAACTGCTGCGTTTCCTATGAAAGATATGTCTGTGACATATGGATACGGTGTCTCGTTTAATCTCACCAGGCCAGAATTACAGGCTACAGCAGGTTGCAATATATGCCTTCGTAAGGGTGAGTAATATTAATAAATCGGTATATAACTAATCCAGGAGTCGAGGCAGTAATATCTTTGCTGATGTTTGGAAATAGAACCGAAGTATTGAAAATACCGCCTCAATATATCTGAATTATGTTTCTTTACAGATGTATTGTTATTTTGCGTTATATTTATTTTGTTCACGTTAAAGCCATTATTGGAAAAATGGCAGGAAACATTGTATACACGTCAGTAGGAAGTATTGCAACTTAGTAAGTGTTCTTCATTGCGTTATCAGTCTTGCAACTGTCACAAGACTTTTTGTTGAACGTTACTAGGCGGAGCTCTCGAGCTGTTGATGACATACATACTTACAAATACTCACACACATGCTCGTGTGCGCACATATGCACATACGCACCCGCATATACACACGTGTACACACATATGATACGTTAATAAACGTTACGATTATATTTCAAGATTTCTGCATTTTTTTTTTTTTGAACGGTGTTTATTTAAGCGTTCAAGGAAAAAGTAATCTGCAAATTTCAATTATTCGTTCATCATACGCAAATTGTCGTAACTAACGATTTATAACGTGTACGATTTATAACTAACGATTTATAACGTGTTGGAAAAGGCTTTTTTATCGTACATATGATAAATAATTAGAGAAAATGGTATCGATTTTAAGAAAGATGCTAAAACAAACACAAGAGTAATGAAGAAAATAAGATAAACACAAATTCCACGAATTTTTTTTTTTTTCTATAAGCGGTTAATCTTATTTTTCATCCTTTGCAAATGTCATAATCCTGGTGTTATGAAAAAATTAGTCATGTTCTGCATATATCTCGTAAGATTACGCTCTTGTCTCGACTTTTATATATTCGCCTTTGATAAACCATATATGTTTCCGTATGCTTTGGTTCTTTTAGATGAAACGCAGAGTATCGCTGCAACTGTTGTACGAATGTTGAATAAGCTGAGTGGAAATGGTGCATTTGTTATCGGATATAATGCTATAATTTTCTATTGTAATCATCTCGAATGATACTCTACAATTTTTTTACCATATTATGCTATATACACAGTGTTATATAAAAAAAATACCATATAAATTTATTATCAAGTTCATTTATTGCTGGACGGCCTTATCTTATACACACAAAGCTGTTTTTCGCATTGAATAGTTGACATACTCGCGAACGTCTCGTGTAAATATCTTGAATTGCATACTGGAAGAGATAATTTACGCGACTTTATCGAGTCTTCATTCCAGCAAGTCAAACACATCTTTATCTCAAAAGACTGATAAATGCAAGGTGTTTTTTTTACACGCTTATCACAAAGTAAGTGGGTTTATCAAAGGCGATTTTAACAACATCCATGATTAATTCTGACTACTCGCGGAATAACAGTCATAGATAAAAGAGCTCTCAGAAGAAGAGCAAGCAGTGTCGTGACAGTATTACTATATGCGATCATGGATTATACCAAGTTCTTCGCGAAAGTTACGAGCAGGAGGAGATCGAATTTCATCAGAAAGATATGTAAGTTGATATTAAACTCGCAATTTTTAACCATTTTGCAATCACGAAGCTCTCAGTGAAAAGTTAAAGTTGAAATATTAACGAACGAGAGACGCAAAAATGTTTTTGTGTGAATTTATAATAAAAGACATTACTTAATAATATCAATAAACGACTATTCAACAATTACGTCATACTATGAGGAGGAAAGCTTGCGTGGTGGTCTGTGAGTGATAGTAGGAAGTTTATGATAGTAGAGAAGAAGGAAGTGTAAAGATCATGAAACGTCACATTAATGGTGTAATGGTGTAATTATAGATGCACGTTATCCATTTTATTTGCATTCGTACCATATTTCGTTATATCTGTGGAAAATATTTAAGTTTCAACATACTTTTGTGTTAATAATCAAGATGTTTAATTATTTAAAATAGAAAAATGAAATATTTATTAAAAAATTATTTATTATATTTGTACCTTTAAAAGCACAAGTTATTAATTAAAATTATAAAATAAAGTAATTAATTTGTTATTACATGCTACATACTTGGTGACGAAATTATATAATGAAAAGGAGGGGGTGGAGGGAGAAGAAATATTCAGATTTAGCGTGTTGTAATTGTTGAATGCATTTTTCGTTGAAGACTTAACGATGTAGATCAGATTAGATTCAACGAGATCTTAAATCTAACTTAAATTAGATTGATTAGATTGAATTGAATTTAATCTAAATTACAGTAGATGAGATTAATTGAATTAAATCACAGTGTGATTAAATTATAGATTTTAATTTTTTGACTTATTTCACTCAAATTAGTCGAAGTGCAATCATTGGTGAAGGATCCCATAATCTTAGCCGGTGGTCTGCCAAACACGGCCACATTTCCTATCAAAGATTTATCTGTGACGTATGAAGATGGTATCTCGTTGAATCTTACCAAGTCAGAATTGGACACAGCATTGCAATATATGCCTTCGCAGGGGTGAGTAGCATTAACAAACCGGTATATAACTAATTCAGGAGCCAAGATGATAACATCTTTGCTGGTGTTTGCGAACAGCGTATTAAAGATACCGTTTCAATGCATCCGAATTATGTTCCTCCATGGGTATATTGTTATTTCGTGTTATTCATTTGTTCTTTTTTATCTAAGTTATAAGCCATTATTGGAAAAGTGGCGCGAGTTCCAGAAAACATGGCATACACCGCAGCGAAAAGATTGGGACGTCGCGTTCACCAGCGGTGCTATGGACGCTTGCAGTAAAGTCTTCGAGATGATTATCGACGAAGATGAACCGATTATGCTACAAATACCAACATACGTTGGGATAACTGGAGCGGTAAGTTGTAATTAAAATAATAATATCACGTTACAGATGCGACGGCTGGCCATTCGGCAAATGATTCTCTATCAATTCTTTTCCTTCACTTGCACGACAGCTACGATCGTTGCAACCGGACATTATAGAGATCTCTCAAGATGCCGATGGAATAATTCCCGAGCAAATCGTTAAAGAATGCGAGCAGCGACGTATGAATAATAAACAGATGCCAAAAGTGAGTTAAAAAATTCGCAGATGCTAAAAAGAGTACCGATATTCTTTTCGAAGCCACATTCCTCAATTTTCCACGTGATTGCGCTTTAACATCGCTTTCTTTCATCGGGGAAGAGTACAAGCCATTGAATGTTTCCAGTTACTTTACGTTAATCCAACGGGGGCGAATCCGACAGGCACCATTTTATCGGAGAACCGGCGAAGGAAAATATACGAATTGGCGCAGAAATACAATTTCCTGATAGTCGAGGACGATCCCTATTGCTTCGTTCACTTCTTGAATAAGCAGCCCACCTCGTTCTTTTCCCTCGACACTGACGGTCGCGTAATCCGATTGGACACGTTCAGCAAATTTATTAGCTCCGGTCTTCGTATGGGTATCGTGACCGCGCATAAAAACATCGTGGACAAGATTGTCATTCATATGGAAAATTCTTCCCTGCACTCGCCGGCTATATCCCAAGTAAGATTTCTTTTCTTAATTTGATTCATTTGAGTGCGACGGTGCAGATGACATCGAAAATGATGCGATCGCGATAAACAAATTTGAGAGAGCGGAAAAGAATTTTGACGATACTCCATACTTTGCTGATTGCAGGTATTAATTTATAAACTATTCGAGATTTGGGAACCGCACAGATTCGAGGAACATTTCAAGAACATCCAAAGATTCTACCGCGAACGACGTGATGCGATGCTGGCATCGGCTAAGAAATACCTCACTGGTATTTTCAATAATTATACGAGACAACAATGATATTGACATTTTATTGTGAACTTAAATAGATTATAAATTCTTCCAATGTACTCAAAAACACACTTAAAAAATGGCTTTATATACTGAATCGATTTTAATTTTAGGTCTGGCAGAATGGAATGTACCGCAAGGTGGAATGTTTCTTTGGTTAAAAATAACGGCAACGGATAACACAATGGATTTAGTCACGAATAAGTGCTTACTTAACGGTGTTTTTGTTCTTCCTGGAAACATTTTCTATTATGATACTGAAAAACTCACTAGTTATTTAAGATTAAGCTATAGTTATGCGTCCAGCGAAGAAATGGACAAGGTAAATTTATACTGAAACTTAATAATATTGCCATTATTTCTAATAAGAATAGCACATGCTTATTACGCGCATACACGTATTATGAAATCGTTACATCGATATTTTTTATCGATTTTCAGGGACTATCTATAATGGCCGATATAATACGCGAAGAAATAGCGAAGAAAGTGAAGTGAAGTGGGGTGAAACTTAACTCTTCGAATACCATGCCATCACCACAGCGGCTTCTTTTTAAAAGATTTTCTGGGACAACTGGCTAATTGTAGTGGCCTTTCCTTAAGCGATTTTCCGGGGCGATACTTTTACAGCGATTCTTACGATTACAGCGATTCTTTTCTTTATCTCACGTTCAAAGCCGCTAGATATCTTGCCAAGAAATGTCAGAGAAACATGTATTCAATTACTTTATCTGCACGTGTGGCATTGAAAGATTTGTAGAAGGCACATATATTACACATATAATCGCCGAAAATTTACACTCGAGAAACACTACAATCTCGCGATGGTGCATTGATAACTTTAAAAAAATTTTATCACTCGCACATTAGCTACTGCTTTATATTATATCATATTAACATAGATTCAACGAATTGCATAGTACAAAACAATGAAAAGGTCGCGACACTCATTCATCGCGTTGCACGGCGAAGCAGCGCGTACAGCAATATAGCTTTTCGTACAGTTCTGTGGTAACCAGAGGATTAATTATACAAGGCAATTGTTATTATATATATACATACATATTATATGTGAGAGAATTGCAGTCTTGTATCATTTATTTTACGTCTTTTTTGGTTTTTATGTTTTTATATATGTTTATATATATGTTTGAGAAAATCAAAGATGTAACGAAAAGAATTACAGATAAAGACTGGGATTATCAAGTGTATCAAATGCTATTTATGTACATATTTCCCTTGAATTTTCTTGTAACATAATCAGCTTTTTTTTTCGGAATACATCTTCAGTCATGAATCAAACTTGGCCGAAACTCAAATTCCATTTAGCCGAGATTCAAACCCGTTAACCGTTACAAGTCTTCCCGTGACACCGCTGGATGGCGCCAGACCAGTTCATCAGTGGCAACAACTGGTCTAGTAGATCAGCTACTCTATCCAAGTGTAACTCCAAGATCTCCGCTACGAGTCGCCACCATTTCTATCGAGTTGAGGTCGTAGTGCGGCTCAACAGCAGGTCAAACGGATTTTCACTTTGCAGGTAGTACGACTCTTTCTCCTTTTCAACTGTAGATTCATAAAAACCACCAAAAATATCATTAATAATAATTTATTACATATATGTGTTATAAGAAGATAAAACGACAATCGATTGTTTTCATCACTTTCAAGGTATAACGGATTATTCAAACGTCGATTCTTTTCTCCGATATCACCTACATTTACTCAGTTAATAACTTGAATTTGCTCAAAGGATAAGATAAGAATATTGCATTATTAGTTAACAGGGAACCATAATTCAAATGTTTACATATATAATCAGCTTAAAAATATTGCGTTGGTATATATAATACTCGTAAATTTTCATTCTCTGCAAAACTTACATTGATATGAAGAAATCACCATTTTTTTTACTATTATATTCTTATCTCTGAAATATATTTATGATTTAAGTTATATTTTTTCTTAAATGCTCGGGACTCTCGGGCCCACGTTGAGGAAAAATCAATGAACCAAGCCGAGTGAAATCAGTGTCTGTAATTAAGGCAACCGCCGGCAACACGCGCGTATCAATGCATGTGTACACCGCAATCACCAAATCCTATTATCTCGTTAATGTTGTGGAACGCGAATAAATAGAACGTGCGATCGGCTCATCGGGTGCGCATTATCATCATTAATCGAGCAACGCATCTACATCCCACACGTGCGTAGCGTTCGTTGCGAACCGTTTTACGTTTCTTTCCTACGTCCTAAATTCTTAACGGAAATGTGCGCAGGGAACACTCGTGGCGGTCGCATTTACAGAAACATCAGAATGATCCAAATATGACCGTTGCTCTGACAAAAATAGATAAATGTTTGTAATGTCCCCGCATAAGATGAATATGATCTTTAATCTCGGAGTTACCCGCCAACTCGCGGCTGGCGTTTCGTCGCAGGACACGGCGTGCCGTCGCCTTTGTCCGTGCAGAACCTGTTGACGATCTCGTCGTTCGGTGTCTTCAGATCGTACGCCCATCCCAACCAAGCCATCAAATTGATAAAGTGGGTCGTCAGATTGAGGCGGCCGTACTCCGAGGCCCTATAGTCCCAGGGGAAGCAGTGATGATAATTGTGCCAACCCTCGCCGATGGAGAAGACGGACACCGCGTAGTTTTCCGTCGCCTCGATACTCCTGAAACAAGAAGAAAGAGACGGAAGTTTTGCTGCTTGATCTGGTCGAAGCTATGCGGACTAATTTGTATCGGAATATCAAGCGGAACAGTACGCAGATTTCATCCGTTAAAGCGCTTTCGTGTAAAATTGACCGGTGACTGGAAAAATCAACGGTGCAAGTTGAGGAGTGTTAGTTACTCTTCCGTCTTTCGAGTACGTTTTCCATTCAAAATTCAATTCATCCGATCCCAATTTCTTGGTCCGACCGAGCCTCTTCTTTCAGTGTCAGTATGTGTGTGTGTGTGTGCTTTTTGAATTACTATACATCGATTTTTCCCTTGCGAAAATTGATGCACAGACATTACAATTCCGTTTGAAATTCACGGATGGGAAAGAGAGCTTTCTCTCGCGTCGAGTCTCGATACTTTCCTATTTCTATTTAAGCACGATCCGAACGCTGACCGACTTCCGACGGGTAATCCTGCAAACACGAACCCGAGAGATTACCTGTTGTACGGTCGATTGCCGAATATGTGAGCGACACTGTTGACGGAAAAGGTCGCATTCAATAGCCATATGTAGCGGATGAACATGCCGCCTATGCTTATCGTCCAGGTTTCGTTCCACGCGTAGACCGGTATCATAGGCGGCAAAATGAAGCACAACGGTAGCATAATCGCCTCGTAATACCTGCGACAAAGCACCCGTACTTAGGTGGTGTTTGCGTTCCTCTGTTACATCTCGCAAGTCGACCTGATTGCATCGATCAAAATAACGACGCAAATTACGACACGCGCGCTCAATTCCGTTCGCCGACCGACAGATTTGTTCGTGGTTTGCCTGTCTCTCTTTCGTAAACTGAATTTGCTTAATGCTTCTTATTCCGAAGCAAGGATGTCACGTTGCTTTGTTATTTCAGGCTCTTTGATAATTACGAAACGATCCGCGATATCATTACGATTGCGACTGGCTTGAATTAACGGGCCGAGTGAGACCATGAATAGCGTCTGATGTATGCTGACAGATTCAGACAGAGCTGATGAAATTCGCAATCATTACAAGTTGACTATTCAACTGTTCGTATTACGATACCATTACCGATCCATCCGGGTATCTCGGGTGTATCTCGCCCGGTACTCAAGTATTCGAATCTTTCCGAAATTATACATTATCTCCGAATATCCGGTTGTTGATTCTTATTATTTATTTGTATTTGCCTTTTAAATAGTTTCACATATAAAAATATTCCGATAACTTCAACAAAATATAGATACCTCTAATGTTGAGTTTAATGATAATTCAATTGAGAAATATTGAACTCACTTGTCAACGAAACGTATGACAGGATCGGCTAATATATCGCTCATGTCCACATGTTTACCGTACTCCTTGACCGCTGGATGATGCTTCATCATCAACCAGCCAACGTGAGAGAAGAAAAAACCGCGTTTAGCGTTATGCGGATCCGCGGAGGTGTCCGTATATCTGTGATGGGTTCGATGGACGCGTATCCATTTATATAGATGGGTCTGCAAAGAAATAATAATCCTCTCTCCAACAATGACGGCTAATTAAAAAATATTACCACACTAGTTACTATTGTACAATCACAGTGGCGATATTTCAGGATCTTACCATGCCGGCCATGCAGTAGAGAAATACGAGTAATATTTTGAGTGGTAGTTTGGCGCTGTAGCTTCTGTGCGCCCAAAGGCGGTGTGCGCCTGCTGTTATGCCGATACCGGCCAAATGTCCGTTTATTGCATCTAAACGCGAAAAATCAAACGATACTGAGGTCAACTTGGTATTAGATTCTTTCCAATGAACACGATATGTATTGGAGGAGATGCGAAGCTAGTTTGCGAAACTTTCTGAGCGTAGATTTCACTTTATTAAATGTTATATTAATTTTTTACATAACATTTGTGAAACTTTCCAACATATTTACTTTGTGTTAAATTAACATGGAAATTTCAATGGACGTTTGGGACATGTAAATTTAACACATTTCTTATTGTGTGTTTAATAGAATAGAATAATTTCTTTTCCTAGTTCATATAATTCAGAATATTATATACATATCGCCGAAGAGAATTGTAGTTAAAAATTAATTGGCAGAATGATGAATACATACAATATATCCAGGTCCAAAATTTGGCATCCTGATAATACTTGGCGAACATATAGAGGGACGCAACATGCAGTACGGCGATACCAATGATGTTGCGCCAAATTAATGGCTGTTTCGCCGGTATATGCTCTTTCGGCGGTTGATGCAGGATCGTATCATTTGCTGTCTGCGCTGATTTCCGGTCTTTACCATCTTCGTATTCGGTAATCGTCGAACTGTACATTGCTGAAGTAACATTTTTGTAGCTGCAGTAGTACCTTGCTCCGTTTATTTCATCCGCGCCGGTACGGTCCATTCTATTTGTCACAAGCGTGGAGACATATATAATACATCTCGGTGAGAGACTTTCGAAAAAATTCACGCTATCTCGAGAGAAACTACCGTGATAAATCGTGGTTCACAGTCTATTTGCCACGTCTTGTTGCGAGCGCGCATAGCCCGCTCTAGTTATAATTTGCTTGATTTTTCCGGACTCGAGCACCGTTATATTTCACGTTTAAATTTTTCTACATTAATCTAGAATGTAGATCGAACGCTGAAGGGGATAGAACGGGATAGAGATCGTAACTTTTCATCACGGGTTCGCTTGTTTTTCACGCGAGCGGATCAAACGATACAAATCGTCGGAAAGGTAAGAGCTTTCATTACGTTCCATTACGATTTTGTTAGATAGCGTTTATTATTATTATTTGCGAAAATTACACCGTGAACGAACGATTTGGGCAGGGAAGTTTTTGTGTCAGGTCTCCGGCAATCTCGTATTAACAAGCAAGCCATTGTAACTGCCGTTTCGACGACGCCCGATGTAATTATTCGCATTAGGCGACCGTTCAAATCAGCGGCGAGATGCTTCCCGTTACTCGTCAGCATGATCGGAACGCATTTTCCCGCTTGCGTGTGTGGGCGTTCCGCATTGGCGAGTTAAGTAAAACAAACAATAAATCTAGCATTCTCTCTCTCTCTCTCTATCTGAACGAAGTGAGTGAACCTCGGCATTCCCACCTTTTCCTCGCCTAGTCCGCCGCAAGTTCTTTGCCAAAGTGATCGTGCAACCGGTTTACTTCTCGTTAGCGTGAATCATCGGCATGCGTTTGACCGAATTCACTGCGAAAGTAAGAATGAATTATGAGTTAAATGTGCTACGTGTTGTGATGCTCTTATTGGTGTTTCAATACAGAGGTGCGTTTCTCTCGTTCCACGTGAAACGATCGCGACGATATGGACGATGTATGACAAGGAAATATACAACACATAAATTGTGATTTCGGCAAAACTCTCGAAGCGTCTTCTCAAACACAAGCAAAATCAACGTGAACGAACGATTTGGGCAGGGAACGAACGATTTGGGAGCCAATGCGGAACGCCCGCACACGCAAGCGGGAAAATGCGTTCCGATCATGCTGACGAGTAACGGGAAGCATCTCGCCGCTGATTTGAACGGTCGCCTAATGCGAATAATTACATCGGGCGTCGTCGAAACGGCAGTTACAATGGCTTGCTTGTTAATACGAGATTGCCGGAGACCTGACACAAAAACTTCCCTGCCCAAATCGTTCGTTCACGGTGTAATTTTCGCAAATAATAATAATAAACGCNACGTGTTTTCCTTTTGAGAGAAAAGTTATTACGTTGAACCAGATAAATACCGAGAAACGACTATTTTCTCATTGAAATAATTTCTACTAGCTTCTTTTTCTACTTATATTTAATGTAATTTAATTCGTATAATTACATTAAACTAGCGATAATGGGCGGTAGCGACAACGATTCGATAATGTTTCCGTGCGCGAAATCCATTTAGAGATTGATCGGCGACTGACGCCGACTTTCACTCTCGCCTAGTCCGCCGCGTGAGTCGCTTCGATCTTGCGAAACAAATCTTTTCTTCCTCCCTCTCTCTCTCTCTCTCTTGTATCGTATTCTTTCTTTAAATTATACTAGAAATTATTTGTTTCGCGAGATAGTGTTCGCAACAAATCTCGAACGATTCTTTATTTACTGCCTATAATTAATATCCATAACTTTCTTTATATATATATATATATATATATATATATATATTTCATTACATCATTGCTAAGTAAATGTTTATAATAAAATATTAAATATTAAAATTAAATATTTAATTATTAAAATATTAAATGTCAAATATTTATAATAAAAATTCTCGGCCTGTAACTGGCGTCCTGCACGCGATAAATTTATACACGTATTAAAAATCTAACTTCTAAATGTTTGCCCTTCGCGACGTATTTTTTCATACCAGTTTACAATTACCGTTTGCTCTTACGGATAACACACGCGTCGCGAGTCGAAAGTCCGTGTGTGACAATGAATTGCAAACCAATTCGGCCGATTAAATGACCGCCTGTGGAAACGTCGTTGTGACGCATGCATTTTTATTCGAATGAAGACAATTTGTTATAACAGCTACGTATTCAGTTACCGATCGATAGAAACTCGATTTGAAGTGCACGGTGAAAGTGCGCGTACGAAAACGTAAAATAAAATCTCGTCGCCGATTATTCACACGCTTCCTGCGGATCATTATATACGGGTATTCGTTATGCAACTCGGCTCTCAACGTGTTGCCATTCAGTACTGTAATCACGATTTAATCGCACAGCTGGTAACAAGTGTCCTATCAATTCCAATTAAAACGCTTACAGAGCTCCTTTTCGCAATGACGTCGCGAAACGGCAAGTGCAGAATCTGGGAAGTTTTCGGTTGTTTGTTAACATTCACTGATATTCATTTGCGTTTTATTACAGTTTTGCCGGCTACGGAACCGCTATTATGAGATTCTCGCGCGTAGAATGCAAGAACACTCCGAATGGATTCTTCTAGATGCTTGTCGTGATCCCGGGAGGGTCGCTGGTATCGGAGAGAAACGCTTATCAGTCCGATAATATTAGCCCTTTTATTAAAGGCGAGTGAGCGACGAAGTATCGAATTCGCACAGCATCCCCGTTCTCACAGGACCGCTGCTCTCTGCCTCGACTTTTTCCGCCGGAATTTAACCTTTGACGTTCACCAACCGATGTCGCGATTTCCGGGCCCGTTTTATTGCCTGGATCATAAGAATCCGCCGTCGCCGCCGCAATGACTCGTAATTAATATGCGTGAACCAGCCTTGGGGATTTCCAGCCGGTGTAAATGCGGATAATACGGCGTTGCTCCGGATTCACGGTTTACAACCCCCTTTCCGTAATCTCGCATTGAGCTTAACTCAACGCGGAAAATCGCGTTTGGTTCCGTAGTAAGCAAATGTGATTGCGCAAGCGGCCGTAAAGTTGTTCGTGCTCACACATCTCTACGTAACGCAATACTTAACAAACGCGAGATTTATCAGTGCTGTATCCGATATAAATAGGCTATTTTTATATCCACGTGCCAGTTAGTAGCCGGCTACTCACACTCACCGGTTACTGCTGGAGTATCCGGTTACACGGGTATCCGAGTACTCATTATTTCCTTTCACACTCGAGATTAAATATTTTTATAAAACGGATCCGGAATTGACTATCGCTGATAGTTATGAGGAAGTTGTTTGCGAAGTATTTCTCAAGGTACGAAATATCGTTCTTTTGCATGTAGACGTGCACGGAGAAAGCAAATTTTGCTAGAACAGCAAATGTTTGTCGATATGGTGACAGCAAAAAGATTTGTTCAAACAACAGAAAGATTTGTCAAGAGCATTAATTGTCCGTATATCCACTAAATAGCGATTAACACTCTCAACAAATCTTTCGGCTGTCCAAACAAATTTTTTGCTGTCTAAACAAATGTTTCTTCGCTGTCACTATGCTGACAAACATTTGCTGTTCTAGCGAAATGTCGAAACTTTCAGCCATGTTACCTCCGTTCCTCCCGTTGGGTCCACGTGCAATCCGTGGAATAATATTATTTGTCCTCCAACTTCGAGTTCTCCGATGCAATTCTGGACGTGCTCCGATTTAAGAATTTCAATGGAATTTATTTATTTATCTTGGACTTGTCCGAATGAAATCTTACTTATAAATCATTTATAGAAAAACTGCACGCACGCATGCAAACGTACGTGTGTGCGAATAACGAGTAGCCGCCCACGGTACTTCGATATATTTTCACCGTCGAGCGGAACAGCGCGATATAAATCACGAGCACGTATACGTGTGTTGTTTCTACGTGAGGAGGGTAAAAGTTTCCGCTGTTAACTGCGAAATTCGAGTTCACATCATCGTTCACAATCGAAGGGCCGCGCCTTTTGAGCGATTAATGGTAACTGTTGCGTGCCTGCTGTACTTACTGCGAGCGGATCGATGCAAGCAAACGCCAGTCCGGGGAAGTTATCGGACAAACTGGATGGAACAGTTACTACAGTGAGTATCTACTTGCGCACTGCATTACACCAGTTTGAAAACGTCTCGCGAGGCGGCAGCTCAGCGTTTATAAGGGATCCCATAACGTCCGGATATCGCTTAAGAATCTATCGTACACGGGTGGAAGGAGAACGTTCGGGCGCCACGATTCGCGGGGCGAAATGGTTGCAGATGAAGACATCTCGCCTGTCAACCCTGTTCCTCTCTTCTCATCCCCTCCATCGAAACCTTTCGCTCCTATGTGCCTCGTTCCGGCTTTCTATCTCTCCTTTCCCCCGATTTCTATAAAACGTTCAATGTTGTGTCTCTCCTTTTTTTTTTGTAACGTTGACAAATCGCTCGTTCGTGTCAGTCCCCGAATCGGGATTTTAGCCCTATTTTAAGTCTAATGCAGTTCTACATTAAATGTTCAAAAGTCTTCTTTGTGTTTGGTACTTTGAATGGGGAAGTTATTGCTTTTTTTCTCCATTCGAAGACTGAATGTGGAACTGAAATGTTGCGGCCGGTGTGAACGAACTTACTGAAGGTAGACGATAGATTGATAGAAACTACGATAATGGCGCAGCTTGCGTAGTGTGAGAGCAGTAAAATGGACTTCATAGAGTAAAACAAGCAGCCAGGCTTTTCTACTTAGAAATCTCGCCAGAAATATATAACTATACCCATGTGTAATGTACCGAATCACTTTATAATATAGTAATATAAATGCTCACTTTACTTAGCCGCTCAACCATTGAACTTTCATTTCGTTTCAGGACCACTTGCTTCTTATATGTCGCACGTTATATCGCACGGAAAAATTCATTTGTGCACTACGCAACTACTCGTCGGGTATTCGATTGTTCAATTCCACCCTTGTTTATAAGCGTCACGCTTCGGTAAAGTTACCAAATATTCAATGTGACACAAAGCGGCGCAATTATCGATTGGCAAGCGAGGAAAGATCAACGAGTTTAAGCATATTCTGCATTTAAACCTGTGCACACGATTTTGCAAGCACAATGTTGACACACGAGGCTGATATTTCTCAACTGCATTATTATTTGTAGTTAGGCAGACTTTCACATTGGCAACGATCTATCAGACTATTCGTTCGGACACCGGCAATCCTAGGTAGTTATTTTATATTATTTTCCTAACCTGCCGACTTCTCAGCGGGACCCATAGAGTTTCATAGGCGCGACCGTGGTGGAATAGTTTCGCTTTATTCAAAGGAGATATCATCTATCACTTTCTCATGTTTAAAATATGGAGAACTTTCACAGGCTAGTACGTACGAGACCGCTTACGCTTTAAGTACTTGCGATCGCTGCTCCTGCTCATAAGGAGATTACACGAAGTAGTAAACGCAGAATCTGAACCAAATTTTGACAGTTTATACGGGCCACTTCTGAGTATATCTCCTAAAATAAATTTAAAACATTAAGTGTAGATAGCCAGCCATTGAAAAATTATTAACTAAAAAAATGTTAGTCTCCGACACATAGGATGTTCTAATCGATCGCTGTAAGTAAACATAGAGAGAAACCTTAGAAAAATTTATCGCATTTTGCAAATGCATGGATGCACCAATGTGCAATGTTTAATATTAGTAATCGATTTTTCTTATAAACGTCTCTCAGACATAATATGAATCAGAGGAAGACAGGAAATCCATAATGAACGTAGATTTCACTCGATCAATCTGATCTTTCATTTTTCCTTGAACTTCGCCTTCGCTCAGATCCGGATATGCGTGTTGTTCGCGTTACAAAACACGTAATAGCGATGAAAAAACAAATACGCAATTGAAGTTGTATCCGAATAATGTAGACTTAATATACGGTATGTTACTCAAATCAAGAATGCAAATAAAAAATATACATTTAAATACATAGGATTGGAAATACCGCGTTATTATCTTTCACATCCAACTCATTCGTACTAGAAAGCACGCATTGCTGCGCCTTTTGCTGTAATCTTTTTTACGGATAAAGAGTCACGTAAAGAGTATTAAAATATCGTGGTTTGGACATAGACAAGTTGATATGCTATGTTGCGTAAGATTGCGCCACATAGATACAAAATACAATAATGTCCAAGGAAAGTTAGGTCATCATTAATCCTGTTCTAGTGTCTATGATTTGGAAAACGACATAAATTTAGAAAAAACACAACAGGGAGAGCGAATTCTAATTCGAGAAAAATGTCAGGTAATATTATTGACGTTGGCGAGGTTGTCACGTTAAAATTAATTAATTTCTTATTAACTATTGCGAATTTTGCAAAATGGTACATGACTTTCCTATTTAGTTTAATTCGTTCTACTTACACATAGTCATTATGTGCGGGAGAATTATTCTTGTATAATTTGTTTTATGCTTTTTTTTAGTTTTTCTTGTGTTTTTATACACATGTTTGAGAAAAGAAAAAAGTAATGAAAAGAATTACAAGTAAAAGAAATCATAGTATCAAATGTTGTCTGTGTATTTTATTTGAATCGCCTCGTAGCCTATTCAGCTGTTTTTCTTGCTGGAAAACACCTTCGGCCAAGGATCAAACTCTACTTAGCCGAAACTCAAATTCCACTTAGTCGGGATTCAAACCCGTTAAGCGTAACGAGTCTTCCCGCGACACCGCTGAATGGCGCCAGGCCAGTTCGTCGTACAACTGGTCTAGTAGATCAGCTACTATATCCAAGTATAATTTCAAGATCTCCTCTGGCGAGTCACCGCCATTTCTACCGATAAGTCGAGGTCGTAGTACAACTCAACAGCAGGTCAAACGGATTTTCACTTTGCAAGTAGTACGACTCTTCCTTTTTTTCAGCCGCATTTATAAATCAAATATTATTAATAAAAATAATTTATTATGGGTAGTATTATAAGAAGATAGAAAAATAATCGATTATTTTCATCATTTTCGAAATATATAATGGATTATTTTGACAACAAACTTTTTCTCTAATATTATCTACGTTTACTCGATTCGTAACTTGGGTTTACTCAAAGGGTAAGATAACAATATTATGTTATCAGTCATCAATCAACCATAATTAACATGTTTATAATCTTAATCAATACTTAAAAGTACTGCGTTGGTAATACTTATGAATTTCTACTCTAAGCAAAGGCTATCGATATGAAGAAATTAACATGCTTTTATTCAAAATATATTCGTATATTGTATTACAAAGAATTATGACGCTTTCGGTGTAACACTTATGCGACAAAGTTGAAATGATTTCGATTCCTTCGATGAATGTTGTAAAGGAAGAAATCTCCTCATTTTAAGGGCACAGTATCGACAGAAGGTGTGGTATTAGCTGAGGTAAAAAATCGAGTACTTTGTGGATACGTGAGCCTTCCACAAACACAGACAGGTGAGATAACACTCGATCGGAAAAATAGAGAAAAATAGCGCGATTTAATATTCTCGCTCCTGACGCGCCTGATTCCTCCTTTAACGAAAAAGTATTCCTACAGTCGGAACATCGAAGAAATGTGTCACGCTCAATCGAACGGTTCGCGCGAAATTAATGAAATATCTTAGCAACAGCAACACCAGCAGCCGCTTCAATATCCGTTCCACTGCTCGCAATTGCACCGGTGGCACGTGGCGTGCCAACTACGCGCGTTTCTTCGAGGGTCGACAAATTGCGGAGACTTCCCTTCTTCCTCTTCATCCCCCTTTTTCCACGGCACGACACTTATAGAGAATTAATAGCAGCTTTTATTGCAAGTTCTCGAAGTAACTTGGTGGAATTGCCGAAAAAAGTTCAAGTCGATCTATGACGATGGCAACGCAGGCGCAAACGTGCCGTTCCCATGGCGCCGTTGCTATACGGTTAGGTAATGTTGGATTAGACACTACACCGTTTCCCAACCAACCCTCTCCGGGTAACGTTCAGTACACCCTAAACCATCGTCGCGGTTGGAAGGTCTCTAGCACCTACACTCACGCACGTGTGCATACACACACGCAGCATACAAGGGAAAGAGAGAGTGAGTGAGTGAGTGAGTGAGTGAGAGATAGATACATAACACACGTACTCGCACACAAAGGAGCACACACGCGGTATCGTACACACATGCAACTGAGCGAAAACGCGTGGCTATTTACCCACTGTTTACGATACATCCTGTCCGGCTCGTATCCGGCTCGAGTCTCGTTTATTTATTCAGCCAATTCTACTCCACCTGCCCTTCCGTCGAGAATTTTCGTTTGTCGCGTACGTTCTGATATATTCGTTTATCGTCGTTATCGTCGTCGTGTGGTCGTGTGATCGTGCTCGCTTATCGTCGTCGTCTTCGTCATTGTCTCCTTAGCCACGATTAAACTCACCGGTCACCTATTATTATCCCCGATAACGAAATATTAATTCATATGTCATAGCATTAATCGTCGCTTCGTTTCACGGATGAAGTCTCGCCACTCTCGTCACTCCTGCTCTCTCTTTACGCTCCCTTGAAACACCAGCCGGGCTGAGTATTTTTACCGAAGGACCATCCCCCCGACTCTTCGTCCTCATCGGCGTGGAGCTTAAAATCCGGACTGCGTGCAACCGGGCACAGTGTCGTGGGAAACAAAAGTGGAGGGTGGTGTGTTTACCGTGGTGACGACGAGGGTATTATCTTGACAGAACCGAAACTGGTCAGGTCAGTAACACGGGGTGAGTCGAGTTACTTGGTCTCTCCGTTACCGCTCTCATGCCCGATTAAGTTTAACTCCAGAATGCACAGGGGAGATCCCTCCGTGAGATTGTGGTATTTACTTTTCCTCGTATTCCCCGATATCTCCGATTGAATGTCTCTTTCCTTCCTTCTCTCCTTCCTTCCTTCCTTCCTTCCTCTCGGTAATTCTTGAGCAAATCTTGAACCATCCTCTTTCCGATAGATTATCCTTTTTCCGATTAGAATTTGCCATAATCGCCCTTTTGTTATTACTCGAGCCTCTCGCAAACTTTCGGGCTGCCGTGTGCATTTCAGAACTAATTTTGTACATTCGTCTTTCCTCTCGCATAATCTCGACGTCAAGACAGATTTCGCCTCTGTACGTAGTTTGTACCATGAAAATTGAATTCCAAGGGATATAAAGCTGAGAGCACTTTGTTATTTTTCTGTTCTTTTTTGTCCGAGCTTCAAGAATCGCGGCAATTCTTCTCAAATGTTCGGGAGATCGCGGGGCATTTTGCAGGAAGCTCCTCGTGAAGGACGCGCCGTAAATCTCGCCGGAACTTGTAAATAATACGCTTCCTCTTATTTTATTCGTCGGAAGCCGAAAAAGTTTGACGATTTTCCGAAAGTTTCCCGTGTAACTTTCGACACGCCGCGACCTCTTCGAAATCATACTTTTGGCGCGAACGTAATCAAAGTTGGTATCCTTGCGGACATCACTAGCTCCTTCCCGCGCTATGAAAAGGATTGCCGTTACGGAGAAATGGGAAATTCTTCCAAGGTTTTTGAAGCATGCCTCGGCCCGGGACGTTGAAAAAAAAAGTCGATCATTCCAAACGAATGAAATCAATGCCCGCAATTAAAGTGACCATCACGGCACGGTACACGCGCATACCAACGTATGTGTGTGTGTGTGTGCGTGTACATCGCAATCACCAAATCCTTCGGTTATCTCGTGATGTTGTGAAAACGCGGAAATAAATCAAACGCGCGACTCATCGGGCGCGCATTATCATCATTAATCATGGGACGCACCTGTATAGCCCACATGTGCATCGCACAGTCGTGCTAAAATAGCTGCGCAACTTTTTTCTACGTCCTACATTCTCAACGGAAACGTGAACGCGCCGCGGAATGCAGGGAACGCGTGCGCGCTTGTTCTCTCGCGGCGGCCACATTTACAGAAACATTAGGATGATCGATACACGACGGTTGCTATGACAAAAATAGACAAATGTTCGTAATGTGTCGCATAGGGTAAATATGTTCGGGCCATTATATACCGCCCCCTCCGTCTATAGATGTCACAGATACATGGGCATGTAATATGTATACATACATACATATATATATATATATGTATATATATATATATATATATATACATATATATATATGTGTGTGTGTGTGTGTGTGTGTGTGTGTGTTGTATAAGCATATGCGCGTATAAGGCTGCGTGACGAGCGACACGGGCAAGTCGCGCAGGCGCTACCTGTAGACTCCGCGGAATACGCGATGATAAATACTAAATTTAACCCCCGGGCGGAGGGGGAGAGACCGGCGCGACGTCAGGCTATCCGGGGGATCGATAACACTTTTCTGGCGTCTCTCGTTCTTTTTTTATCGGCAAAACGTGACTTCGCGTATGTAGGACGTTTATATAAATCGTTGACCGCAGAGGTCACCGAGGCGTGCGGCCCCCGCGTGTGCGATACATCTCCGATAGGGGGTCGTGCGATAAAGCGTTTATTAAAATTCTACGGCGCTTGAAATACCGCAGACATCAGACCAAGGCCGGGGGAAATTCGTGCCTCGAGTCGGGAGACACGGCGGAAAATATTAACCCCCTATCAACCGAGGGTGACGGAAAAAAACCAGTTTCAGATGAGGTTTTTTTAAGAACTCAATCGTGATTTCGTTTCTTTTCTCCTTTCCTTTAATTAATAACGCGAAATACTGCGCCCATTCTACTAAGTAATTAAAGCTCTCATTACCGTTTTACAGAACCGAGCGGTTAAATGTTAAAGTTGCATGCATAGCCGCAAATAAATACAATGGAATTAAATGCATTAAATTAACAGCAGGTCTTAACAATGGATCAAAACGATTGAGGTTCGCGATCCACAATGTCGTTCGTTATGCTTTTCAAACTCGCTTGTACAAACGTAAAGCATTCGGCAGATATTATGTGTTATTTATCATATTTATTTGTAACAGTTAATTAATTAATCGTGACAATATTTGTAACTTCTCACATACGCTGATTGCACGATGGAAAACTCTACCTCTGGACTACCTTGTGTTGTTTATCGATTGCGCTTATGAAAGTATACTTTCAAGTGTCAGTTTAGGTTTTCCATTACGTTCTATGCGTTTCACGCATGAGTGAAAGCGATGATATAAACGTGTCCCGCAAACATAATTAAGCAATGCGCGTTACCCACGAAAGTTCAGACGGATAATGCGCTCGTCAAAGGAGCGACGATAATATTCGGCTCGAAATAATATAATCCGCCGTGTTCCGTATTGCTCTCTTGTTTGCTCGAGACATCACAGCGATCACGCGTGGAAGGCAACTGTAAACGTTGCGCTATTTATTTTGTGCTCAAAGAAAGAAAGAAAGAACAGTCGAGCAGTTGGCTGGGGAGACGGAAGACCAACAAACATTACGTTGCTCGCATTCCTGCTCAAACGGGAAGAAAATAGAATCTTATTCGATTAAGAATCATATCTAATCGAATCTGAAAAAAATAGTCGAAAATAATCAAATCTAATAAGAATGACGATGAAAATCTGCAAGTGAATATGAATGTACTGAGTCGTGGTCGAAATGTCCGCTTCGATTTTTCCTCTTCGACGGCAAACTAGCTGTCTAGAATAAAGGTACGCGAATACGACTATTGGCGAAGAATCGTAAACAGCAACGACAGATGTTTACTCGATTTATGAATGACCTGCTGCGCCACCGAAAGCGATAAAAGTGAAATTTGGCTGAAAAGCGAATCGGATTTTTTGATCGACCCAATGTATGATATAATGACGTATGGTAATGATGGATTAATGGAAGTTTGCATTTGAATGCTTGCTTTTGAACAAATCTTTGAAAATTCTTAAAACGACACATCGATGTATTGTCGCGACGAACTCGCGAGTCACAAGATAATCACGCTTATCGACTCGACATAAGCTAAATGAGCAACTCGAGATCAGTGTACTCCTTTCCTTTTCTTCTTCCTCTTTTTTTTTTTTTACTTGAGACCACCTATAATCTCGAAGTTACCCGCCAACTCGCGGCTGGCGTTTCGTCGCGGGACACGGCGTGCCGTCGCCTTTGTCCGTGCAGAACCTGTTAATGATCTCGTCGTTCGGTGTCTTCAGATCGTACGCCCATCCCAACCGGGCCATAAAATTAATAAAGTGGGTCGTCAGATTAAAACGGCCGTACTCCGAGGCCTTATAGTCCCATGGGAAGCAGTGATGATAATTGTGCCAACCCTCGCCGATGGAAAAGACGGACACCATGAAGTTTTCCGTCGGCTCGATATTTCTGGAACAAGAAGGAAGGGAGGGAAGTTTCACTTGATCCGGGCGGACTACGCGAACCAAGTTCTGCCGGAATCTCATGCAACAGATTATTCAAGCGGAACAACGCGGCTTACAGCTTCCATCTATTAAAGCGCCTTCGTATAAAACTCGCTTAGGTAAATTTACCGCTTCAAGGGCGACGCCTCTTCACGTGCTCGCGCATTTTGACCGAAAAGAATCTACCCTCGCATTCCTTGCGACAGGATGAGAGTATACGTTTTTCGCGAGTCTCGATTCGCGTTGAATCGGAACGGCCGTGTTCGCAAGTAAGATCGCGCACTTTTATCCGTAATATTCTGTCCGATTTATCGCGTTATGAGAAACTTAGAACTACCAGAATCTCTGAAGGGTTTGAGCTCGCAATTTTACGTCGCCCGAAATCTCCGGATGATACCAAATGTTTTGCCGTTTGCAACAAGAATAAATGGATTGTGTTAGGATCGGATTCGAGCTGGAAAACCGCTCGCTCTTGAAAAAAGTATTGCGCTCGCTCGCAAGATTAATCACCTCTGGGTGACCGGAAAAGTTACTGGAGCAAATTGAGGCGTGCGAGTTACTCTTTCGAGAGTGTTTTTCATTCAAAACTAAATGCATCCTCCAATTTCCTGGACCAACCGCGCTTCTTTATCAAGTGTGTGCGCGCGCGTGTGTGCATATATGAATGTGTTCTTCGATTGTAAATCGATTTTGCTCTCGCGAAAAACGCGGCAGGCGTTATAATTTTGTTCGAAATCCTCACAATGGAAGGGCACAACACGCGGCGAGCTTTCTCTCTATCGAGACTCACGATTTATATCTGAGCGCAATCCGAACGTTGGCGCCGGCCGATTCCGATGGTAATCGTGCAAACGTGAACCCAAGAGATTACCTGTTGTACGGTCGATAGCCGAACATGTGAGCGAAACTGTTGACGGCAAAAGTCGCGTTCAACAGCCATACGTAGCGGACGATCACGCCGGCTATGCTTATCTCCCAGCTCTCGTTCCACACGTAGACCGGTATCAAGGGCGGTAAAATGAAGCACAAGGCTGGCATGATCGCCTCGTAATATCTGCAATAAAATACTTGTAAATGACAAACACGCGGATGGTGCGTTTAATATCGCCTATCGAATGTTGCCTTCCTCCTTTCACGGCAAGCAGATGAGCCGAGTGAAATCAGTGAAAAAAATCATTGCCACACACGCGCGATCGAACCTGTTGTTGTGTTCTGCCCAGGACAACTGAGTTACAGAAATACCCGGGTTTATATTGGCAGCATTAATTCATATTTTCTGAAGTAAAGTTTGCGCTTTATCCATGACACACTTGAGAAATATTGAACTCACTTGTCGACGAAACGTATGACAGGGTCGGCTGAGATATCGCTCATGTCCACGTGTTTACCGTACTCCTTGACCGCTGGATGATGT